AGACTATGATTTTTGGCACCCATCCCTTCCTCCAATTATATGTCTTAAGTCCTAACAAAGCGTCCCCATTCACAGAACACGGCCAAGCAAAGATGAAGTTGTATACCGAACATTGTTGGTAAGTTGGAGGTCTCCCAGCCTGTGCTCTACAAGCTCTAAACAACCACTCATCAGAAATGCACTAGATTTTGAATCTTTGGATGCTTCTTAAGAGCTCAACTGGCTCTTTAGCCTCAGACACAAAAATCAATGACACATGTCCCTGAAGAAATAAAAGCCAAAACACTCTTAGCTCTGCCAAGTGAGGATTTTGCTGAAGTGTTCCTCGGAGTGAGGTTGATTTTTAGCATTCTTACATGAGCTTTTAAGCCCTGGTGCAATATAAACACATGGAACTTAGTGACTGGTGACCGGAGATCCCTTCATCTCTATCCCTCGACCCGTTCTTCATTCTGTATTTCGATTAAATGACCTCTAACAGATCCTACCAGTTTACAAGGCCTAGTATGTGTAAATGTCACTTACCAGAGCCATTAACTTGTCAGTGCCCTTTTGGTGGGTCAATATCTGAGTTGATGGTTTCTCAAAAGTTACAAAGAGTTGTAAAGAAAGGAAAAAAATTTCCAAGGGTAAGTGATGTAATGCTAAGGACTGAATTGTCTTTTCCTCAAATTCATATATGGAAGCCCTAGTCCCCAGGGTGTTTGGAAATGGGGCAGTTGGGAGGTAGTTAGGTTTAGATGGGGTCAGGAGGGAGGGGGCCCTCAGGATGTGATTAGTGTCCTTAAGGAGAGACACCAAGAAACTTGATTCCTCCCTCCATCTCTCTCTCCACCTGCCTGCGCTTTAAGAAGGCCATGTGAGGACACAGTGAGAACACTGTTGTCTGCAAAGCAAGGATACAGCCCTTACCAGGCACTGAGCCTGCTGACACCTTGATCTTGGACTTCCAGTCTCCAGAACAGTGAGAAATAAATTCCTATTATTTACGCCATCAACTCTTAAATTTTGTATGGCAGCCACACTAAAGAAGATATGTAATATAGTGGAAAGGGATATAATTTAGCACCAGAAAGCCTGGCTCACCTCTTTTCCTTGCTTAACCTCTCTGTCCTCCATTCCTTCTCTGTAGAATGGGGAAATATGAATAACTTCCCTCACTCCCAATCTCACAAAGCTGTTGTGAGAATTCAGTGAGGAGGTTTATGGAAGTGCTTTGCAAACTGCTAAAGAATTGCCATTTTGCTTTTCTCTTGGAGATCTTTAGTTTAATGATTCAAACAGTGTAATGTTGGGAATCTGCCACTGAAGTGAAATCCAAAAATTGCATAGAAAAAATGAAAATGAAAAAAAAAGTAAGTTAAGAGCACTACAAAATGATTTTGTTTAAAAGTGCTGTAGGGTTGAACACACACATGCTAATTGTTTTAAGTGAATTTTTGTGGTTTGGTTGTTTTAAAAAAAATTGACTGCTTTCAAAATTTTGTCTGAGTTCCTCTGTTAGAACTCATAAAAAATTATTGTAATTCTATTTATCTATATTATATGATTATATATTTTATAGTATGCATATATTTCTATTTTATAATTCTATAGTATTTCCCATGATATTTGGGAACTAATTAAATTGGTATACAGAATATGACAAATAATTGGCAAAGTAGGGAAATAAAATAGTTTGGCCTAAAGTTAAAAATACCTATTTTCAGGCTTGAACTTATCCTATATTATCACAAATGGCACCTGGTGGCGGCATCTGGTGCTGCAGCCCAGCTCTTAATGGATTTTTTTTTTCTGACTTTTTTAAGTGTTTTATTTTGGAGAAGATTTAGATTTATAGGAAATTTGTGAAGCTAGTACACAGAGTTTCAACAAACCCCATATCCAGTTTACCGTTATGAACATCTGTCACAATAAATAAGCCAATATTGGTACCTTACCACTAAGTGACATCCATACTTTGTTCAGATTCCTTTAGTTTTTACCTAATTCTCGTTTTCAGTTCCAGGATACCACATCACATTTAGTCATCCTGTTTCTGTAAGCTCCTCTTGGCCGTGACTGTTTCTCAGACTTTGCTTGTTTTTGATGACCTTGACTATCTTGAGGAGCACTGATTAGGCATTTTGTAGAATGCCCTCAGTTGGGATTTGTTTGATGTTTTTCTCATGATTAGACTGGGGTTATGGAATGTCATATAGACATTTTAATTATTTGAATTTAGAAATATTCCAGTAGTGAGTCAGACAATTCTCTGACATAAGAAAAAATATTTTGGCCTGAAGCAGCATGGTCCACAGTGGACAGTTCACAATTGGAAAAGTACTACAAATACAAGAGAATCTTCCAGCAAAGTCTATTCTTCTCCTCATAGGTTTAACTAATCCCAGGATACCCTGGATTGCCACAGGTCTGTCCACTCGCTTCAGTCCTTTATTTCTGAAGACTTTCAACACAATCTTCTATACTAAGTTTCCTGTGGGAAAAAGACTTTCAATTTTTAAATGGAATTTAGTAAGAACACAGTATTCATTTTACATAAACTCCCTTATAAGCAACATGACTTAACTGCATTAGATATCTGAAACCTTCATACCATCTTGAACATAAGTGTGTGAGTAAGGACATGGGATTTATATGCTAAAGAGAACTCTTGTAACTGCTGCTGACAAGGATTCCTTTATCAGAAGAAGAGTCAAATTAATGGAGTCTCTCTGGTACCAAGCACCTGGGATGCTATTATAAAATGGAAGTGGCAGCTGCAGACCCAGAGCTAGGTCATTCTGGACAGAGTGATACAACGCAGGAGAACCAGTTTTAATTTGAGTTTAAGAAACTGGAGGAATTCTAAAATACTCCTCCCAAGAATAACTACCTTATTTTATTTTCCACAAAGATTACGCTGGTTAGTAAAAGAGAAAACAATTTTTCAAATATAGAAAAACATATAAACATTATCTAGTACATATCATATGTTCTGTCTGGGGTTTTTTTGGTTTGTTTGTTGTTTTGTTTTATAGTTGACGAAAATGCTTTAATATCTGTGAATATTCAGCTATTCAATTCTTTTATAGTCCCATGGTAGTCTTTATAATGATTCAGCTCTGTGCAGGTATAATAATAATAATAGCTTATCTGTGTTTTATATGTTTTAACCCACTTATTCCTATCTGTAAATTTCCTCTTCTATAGTGAGGAAATTGAGGTGTAGAGAAGTTAAATAACTTGCCTAAAAATGCACAGATAAAGTCAGAATTTGAGTTCAAAGCAAGAACTTTTTGGCGCCAAAGTCTCAGCTCCTACTGGGTTAAACTATCTTTATGTCAATAATCTATTTCAAAATGCCATCTGCGAGAATGCCCCTCAGTTGGGATTGTTTGATGTTTTTCTCACAGAAAGTTTAGTGTCCATCAAACATTACAAAGTAGACATGCAACTATTTCTCTTAAATTCATTTCATTAGCAAGCCTTTCTTCTCTTAAGCTTTGGGGCCTCACAATTAATTTCTATTCACATGACACATGTTTTATAATATTTGAAAACAAGGAAGAGGAGGATATATTACTACTATTGATTATTATTGTCAAGGTAAAAAAATCAAATTGTCTCATCCTAATTGATTTAAAGGCCAATAGTAAGATAAGGGAAGGCCAGCCATTCAGCAGTTCTGTCACCTGGAACCAGAGCAAGAGTGGCTTGATTCTATTCTCCATGTTATAAAATATAGTGTGTTAATAGAAAATCTGAGGTATAAGAAGACCAACAATTCAGGAGATGTTCAGCATTGAAAAGATAGTCTGTTGCTCATGGTTCCCAAAAGGAAGATACAGGACACGCCTCTGGGGACCACATTGGGAGGTACCATGGTTATTAGAAGAAAAGGGAAGAACTATGGGCAAGAGCCTTCACTGTAGTTTCCACAGGAAGGAACAGGTGAGCAGGGGAAACAGGCTCAGGACTGGCTCGTTTGAATAATTTCACAAGGCTCTGGGATATAGGGGCTGTGCCTGGTTATCACCTGGCCCCTGGCCCTGGGGTGGTTGACACAGGTGGAATGTGATAGTGTGATAAAGAAGGTGGCGGGGGTATGGGCTCTGGATTGGTTGGTTTGTATTTGAAAAGACTTGTGGGCAACTTATTGTCTCTAGGAATTGGCTAACCCTGGGAGTTGTAGTCCCTCCAGCGTCAGCAACGTCAGCAAGACCTTGAGATGTCAAAACATCAGAATACAGAAAATAAAAGACATAGTTAACACACTCCAGCTAGAGGAGTTATGGCCATTCTAACTTGGGAAAAGCATACAAATCTACCCATAAGTGAGGTAGACATATCCAAAGCTAATTTAGCTATAAAGAACTGAGATGGTCTTGATGCCCTGTAAGGGAACCCCACATAAGTAGAGGGGGAAAAAAACAAAAACAAAAACAAAAAGCAATGACAATTAGATCAAATGCAAATATCTGGGTCTAGATCATCTAAGGCAGTGGTTCTCAACCTTCTTAATGCCTTGACTCTTTAATACAATTCCTCATGTTGTGGTGACCCCCAACCATAAAATTATTTTTGTTGCTACTTCATAACTGTAATTTTGCTACTGTTATGAATCATAATGTAAATATCTGATATGCAGGATGTATTTTCATTGTTACAAATTGAACATAATTAAAGCATAGTGATTAATCACAAAAACAATATGTAATTATATATGTTTTCCGATGGTCTTAGGCGACCCCTGTGAAAGGGTCGTTCGACCCCCAAGGGGGTCTCGACCCATAGGTTGAGAACCGCTGATCTAAGGAGACTTTAAAAACTTGCCACAAGCTGGTGCTTCCCTCTTTACAGGAGAGAAAATCCCATTGCACAGAAAGTTTAGTGTCCGTCAAACATTACAGAGTAGATGTGCAACTTTTTCTCTTAAATTCATTTCATTAGCGAGCCACTCTCTGTAGTGTAGTGTATGTAGCATATACACAAGAGCAAACACATAGCAATGTTTTGCCTAAATATGAGCTCAGCCACAGACACCGCCCACCCCTCCTGCCAACACACTCCATAGCACACATTCTCATGGCTCTACGTTTAATGGGTCTAAGTTGACATGGCTTAATGGGCCTTTTTGTTTTTCTCCAAAGCATTGAAATACATTTAGACAAAGTAGAGCTAGACCTGCCTCTTTTGACCTCAGAGCTTCCTTAATACCAGAGGCAGTATTTTCAAGTCCAAGAGTGCTGTTTTCTTTGTAGTCATGGCAAAATCAAGGACCACATTATCTCAAGTTTCAGCAAACACTTTATCCTCCTCATTGATGTCTCAAAACCAAAGCCTGATCAAGTCCTTTGGCAAGAAATGTGGGTGTTCGACAAAAAGATGAAAGAAGTTGGACATAAGAATATAAGTTTCTGTTAACCGTATTTCTGAGTATTTTTCCTTGGTGAAGTCCCCAACCAAACTTGAATAAATTAGGCACAGTGTCGATAGAAGTAAAAGAAGTAATCTGTAAAGAATATTCCAGCAAAATAAGGATCCGTTGAACAGTCAGCTAAATCCTGTCAGAACAGGAGAAAAAAGAGAATGATTAAATGTAAGCATTGATTGTAGTTGAATCTTTTTTTCTCACTGAAAAGAAAACTTCAATTAAAGAATAGCTTACCGGTGCAGCCACACGGAAATGGTAGGCGCTATCAAAGAACGGAGCTACCGGGAGGCTCCAGATGTGCTGGTATCCCTAAATAATGAATGAAAGAGATCCATTTCATAACCACATTTTACACTTAATTGGGAAGAGTATAGGCTGAGAAAGCATTTCCTTGCCCACTGCAGGAGAGGTATCTGTGACAACAGCTTTTGATAAGGACTGTCAGAACTGCAGCTTCCGAAGGACACATGGAAGAGGCTGAGCAGAGCCCGGGACCAGGCTCAGCCTGCGAGGGGAGACCCTGGCACGGGGCTTAAGGCATCGCTCTCTTAGTTGGGAGCAGAGGTCACCACAGTCCTACACACACGCCTCCCGGAACAGGGGCGTGATGCTGAGGAGCCAAAAACATTACCTGTGTCATCTCCTGGGAGGCTTCTCCGTGGGTCTGCATCCCTTTGGCTTCCCTTTTCCTCTGGAAACATATATTTCCAAGGGTGAATCTGCACTGGAAGACTATCAGGGGCTCTGTCGTGCTTCAAAAGACAAAGGAAATAAGGGCAAATGGAAAAGCAGTTATCATCTCCTACCAGGCGACACTTTAATAAGAAGAGGGAGCAGTGCTCGCTTCGGCAGCACATAGACTAAAATTGGAACAATACAGAGCAGATTACTCCTAAGAAAAAAAAGAATAAGAAGAAGGAGGAGAAAGAGAAACATAATGGGAACATAACGTGGAAATCCATTCAAAGCTCAAAATAAGCATTTTATTACCCAAAGCTCACTGATGCCAGTGTGCTAGCTCACATCTCATTATTACAGAAGGAAACTCAATCTCAGGTGACTACTGCTTTGGACTGAATGTTTGTGTTCTCCCAAATCCAGATCCTGAAATCCTAACCTCCAGTGTGATGGTGTTAGGAGGTAGAGCCTTTGGTGATGAGGTCAGAGGGGGAGTGAAATTAGTGCCCTTATAAAAAAAGACCCCAGAGAGCACTCGCATTCCTTCTGCCATGTGAAGACACCGCGAGTCCACCATTAATAACCAGGCAGCAGACCCTCACTAGACACCGAATCTGCCGGGCCTTGATGTTGGACTGCCCAACCTTCAGGACAGAGAAAAACAAATGGTTATTGTTTAGGCCACCCAGTCTATGTTATTTTTGTCATAGTAGCCCAAACAGACTAAGACAACTACTGAAGTAGTATTTGACAGTCTCTGAAACCTAATCCCCTGATTTAAAAATTACACCAACATTAGAATTTCTTCTCTCCATAGATTTTAAAATAATTTTGAGCTATAGTCCTTCCCTTTTCACTGAAACTAATTTGCAACTATCTGAAGTTTCCAGGATTTCAGAGTCTGCAAAAGCCTGATCTGGGTAGATTTTGTTTGAAGCAGCAAGGCTAACAAACACAGGCAGGGGTGTGGGGGTGAGACCCACTGGAAATGAGCAGCCTTCAAACCTGTCGGAGTGGAAGAATGGTTCTTCCCTGGAGGCTGGCCCGTTAATCATCACCAAGACGATGAGATTCACCTGTGTTGGGAAACAATCTTTTTGCACAGACAACCTATAATCTCAGTTGAGTATCTGGGTTATTTTAAAATCACCCATATTAGAAAAATGGCCAATTTAGTGGCTCAAGATAGACTGCTGCCACTTCAGGGGATATACCATTTAAGCTCATTTCCCTCCATGAAGCTGGGAATGAATAAGGAAACGCCATATCGGGTTACTCGGGGAGTGCTGGAGAATAGTAGTGCATTTAACTCATAAGAATAGTACATTTAGCTTTTGCTCTGCCTTGAATTATCGTGGGTTCTGGGCCATGAAATATTAGCTGCTTGAAACAGACCTTTCCAAGGCAAGTGGTTGGGGTGAGCGTCATTAGCTCATTGTAGAAGCAGAGTTGATGAGAGGAGGCATATGAAGCCTGAGTGACCAGAGGAAGAGACAGACTTGGGGGTGGGGATGATGGAGGAGGAACAACAGAACTGGGGAAGCAGAGGGAGAGAGGGGAGGAGAGAGGAAGGGAAAGAGCGAGCAAAGGAAGGGGAGGAGAGAGGAAATGTGGAGGAAGGAGAAAAGGAGAAACTAAAGTCAAGAGATACAAATTGAAAACCATCTGTCTTCGTGGTAAGAGGTAGCTCATTGCGTACTTTCTGAGTGAAGTGGGTAAAAAGTCTTAAAGTACCATAATTAATTAAAATTGATAAGAATAGTTTTGTAATTTTGGAGGAAAGGTAGTCATAATAAAAGCTACCATGTATTGAGTGCCTAGGATGTGCCAGGAGGGACAATATTCTTACATATCTCATCTCATTGGGAAGGCAGGAAAGTATGGTTTAAAAAATGGGCTGAATTTGAAGCCCAGCTCCAGTTCTTAGGAGCTCTGAGTTTCGTGTTGGGTTTTCTGACCTCTCAAAACCTGTGTTCCCATCTGAAAAATAGAAACTAGAAAAACAATACCAACCTTGGAGGGTTATTGTGAGGATTATATGACCCAATACTAAAGCGTAGAGTGTCTGGTTTATAGCCTGTGCTCGACAAATGGTAGTTATTAATCTCACTATTATTAACAGTGATTCCCACAGCAGCTCTCCTTGTTATGGTATAATGTCAAACTCGTTTTATAGATGAATAAACAGTAGCTCAGAGAGGATAAGTGGATCCTCCAATATTACAGAAGTAGTAAGTGACAGAAACAAAATCTGAGCCCTGGTCTGCCCGATTCCAAACTCTCACTCCTTTTTTAACTCCTCTGGGGAAAGGAAGTGGTGTCTGCATTAGCACTGCTACCAGGAGCTCACACAAATGTGCAGCCCCCCATCCAGGGCCCTGCTATTGCTCTTGTTTCCACCCTGATGCAGAAGGGCACAGTCAGGGGCCGTCTGCAGCTTGTGAGCCAGCATCAAACCCAAGGTCACTTCCACTTTGCAGGTGTAAGTGCACAGCCTAGAGCCTTTCCAGCCCTGTAGAGGGAGGGAGCCTGGAAGATCTTGGCCTTCATTTTGAAAACCCCTTTCCCAAACTGGTCCACCTCTCAACCCAACCGTCATTGGTCAACAGGGACTGATACGTTTCTACCTCCTGACTGACTGATCAAATTGTAAAGTAAATTCAGGCTGGCTACTCAAATGATAATAAAACTAGAACTGGTTTTTACAGTTACGCACTTACTTGATTTCCAGAGAGAATTTGACATTGGTGGGTGTGTGCTTGTTAACAGGAATATTGTAATTGTAATTTCCAGACCTAATTATAAAAGAAAAATCAAACCACAAATCAAAATATGCAGGAAATGATGCAAAAGGCTTTTTGCTGCTCATTATATACTATGTAAAGTAAAGCATTCTATAATAAATATATAAAACCAAATTTAACATGGTACAGCTTTATGTTTTTCAGAGACATACCTGTCAAGTTGCAAAGTGATTTCTTTCAGGTCTTAACATATAAAATGTACCACAAAATGTGTAGCTTGTTAGAACACACAGACAAAGTGATGGAAAGTCAAATCCCAGGCCAAATGCACAAAGCTAAACACACAGGAAATGACTTCAGTTCCCCTAAGAGATACAGATTTCAGAAAACAAATGAGGCAAAGACCTCAAACTAACAACCCCTCTGGAAGGAGGATTGGACATAATAAACACCAGCTTTTCTACCGTAAATCACTCCCTTTGAGGAAACATTAGCAGGAAATATTATGCACTTTCAGAACTTGAACCAACGAAAATTATTATAGTCCTAATTACCACTTAGTAATGGAGATAATTGCAAGACAGAAATGCTTATATGGTGTCCTCCCCCCTCCCCTGTGAGAGAGAAAGTGGGGGGAAAGAGGGAGTTCCTTTGATTTCATATTGAAATGAAAACTCCAGAAAAAAGACATATCAGACCTAAGCTCTCATGACCTGGCCATCTTTTAAATTATATATAGAAACAATTAAAAATCAGATAAATGGGAAAAATAGCCAGTGGTTTTAGATTCTCTATACTGATTACTAAAATAAGTTGTTAAAAAATGAGAATGCAAAAAATGAAGGAAATAGAGCTGCATTGGATCAGGAGAGTTTGTTCCACTGGAGGAAGCTTAGATGAATGGAATTCATTCCCTACCCCATGAATCCCAACATGTGCATACTTCTTGGCAACCCTACTCAGCGGATGAGAAAGGGATATGTAGGGAGAATAAAACTCTTGTCAAAGTTCTAGAATTTAAACCTGAATCATCTTACTCTTCTTCATTATGTCACCCTACCACATTCATTAATGTCTGTCTTTGGCTTTTTCAAGTTTACTGAACCTCAGGTTCCTTAACAACAAAATGCAAATAAGTAACACCAACCTTCAAGGATTTCCTGAGAACTAAATGAGATGAAACATGTAGAGGTCATAAACAAGGCATAAAGCACCATGCAGTTTATTTTTAAAACCCAGGACCACCAACTTGCAGCCTAAGTTATATCAGGTTGAAAAGGAATAAGGCTGAGAATTCAAAAGGATTTGTGACTCTAGTTTAAAAATATAGAGTCTTGCCTTCAAGCTGGCAGGCACCTGGTAAATAGTCATCAAAGAAAAAAAAAAAAGAACTCCCATTCTTTTTTTTCCCAATAGGTTGTGCTTTTTTTCCCCCAATAGGTTTTTATTGATTTCTAAGAGGAAGGACAAGAGAAATAAAAACATCAATGATGAGAGAGAATCATTGATTGGCTGCATGTGCCCTGACTGGGAATCAAACCATGACCTTCTGGTTCATAGGTCAGCATTCAACCACTGAGCCATTGTGACGGGGCAAAACTCTCATTCTTAATGCTATAACTTGTGTATGGTGCTTACTGAAGCCACTTGCTCTCCATGCTTCTGGACCCAGCATTAGCGCCACACAGATATACAGCATGCACTAGAGGTGGATGCTGCTGATACCTTTTCAGTACCTGGATTTTTCCCCCTCCTCGTTGAAAAAGCTAAGATAAGCTATATTTTTTTCCAGCAATTAAAATAATGATATCCCTTGTTACTTAAATGTACAAATTTCAGCTCACTCATAAATTGAAGCCATTGGTAACAATGTCTTTCTTGTCTATAAAATTAACTAGCCCCTCTGCATCTCTGGTTTGTTCCCGCAGAGAGTCAGCCACAGGGCTTCCACTAAGCTTTTTGCTTTGGTCATACCCATTAAAACCAGGACACTGGGGTCATTGGAGCCATGGTTTATTGACATTTGCTAATACCAACCGTTTTATGATTCCCTGGTCCACCGTGTAACAAATGTGTTTTCACTTAAGGAGCAAGGTAAGCTCACATTGATTTTACCATGTGGCGTTAGCTTTTATTCCAAACACCAGGAGACTGGAGTAAATTCCAGAAACAACTGGGGTTAACGGGGAGGCTTACCCACCCGCACTGGAGGCTTCTACTGCAATACCGGCGATCTATTGTTTGCTGGATTTCCATAATCTGAATAGAACTGATGGTTGTATCAATCCCTGGGTTGAGAAGAAATAGAGAAAAGCAGGTAAACTCTTCTGCAGAGGAAAGGAGTTCTGTGCTTCAGCCCAGTGTCCACATTTCAGAATGCAAAGCAAGCGTTCCCGGGATCAATGGATTTCGCTTGTATTCAGATAGAAGAAGGAGGAGGAGAAGGAAAGGGAGAAGGCGTTTTTGTTGTTGTTATAGTACATTTTAAGAAAACTAAAAAAACCTCAGCTTCCAATAGACAGCCTCATCCTATCCAAAAGCATTTCCGGACCCTGGAAGCCCTAATAAATTGAAATTTATTGAAAATGCTTTTAAAAAATGAGAAAACAGAAAACAAACTAAAAGAGAGTGATAAAAAATAGAAGATGGCAGGAAGTCCAAATAAATTATTAAAGTCCATGGAGATCAACCACACCTGCCTAGTAATGAGCCACCATTTCTAATGCTCCCTTAATGGTTAGGCTGGCTGCCATTATACAAGCGTAATGCCATGGGTGTTTATGGCAGGGTGCAGCCTTTGTCCTATTCCTCACTCTAGTAACTACAGCTTGTAGTCCCTCTGCTTGGCCCTGCAAATCACTTAAATTTAAACTTACAGTCACTTCCCCAGTTGGGGCTGGTTCGCACTTCCCCTGCCAGGAATGATGCGCTTCTGTCTTCTGAAAAGGAAAAAAGTCTGTCAGTCTTTTTCTTTTTAAAAATTTTTAAAATTGATTTTTAGAAAGAGAAGAAGGTGGAGAGAGGGAAACATCAGTTTGATCGGCTGCCCCCTACCAAGGACTGAGTCCACAACCCAGGCATGTGCCCTGACCAGGAATCAAACTGGCAACCTTTTGGTGCACAGGACAATAGCCAACCAATTGAGCCACACCAATCAGGGCAAGATGAGAAAAAATCCAGTGTGTGATACAGTTTGTCTCTGTCAATCGAATGTTTCCCCACCCTTTCTCTCTCCCATCTTTCAACCCATCACATCCCTATCACATTTCTTACAGTAGATTCTCACTGTTCTTCAAGAAGTTATCTGCTTTGAGCTAAACTGTGTACCTAATATTCTCATATGTGAAATCCTAAGCCCGCTAGTACCTCAGAATGTGACTGTATTTGTAGGTAGGGCCTTTAAAGATACAATTAAGTTAAAATGAGGCTGTGGGTGAGACCTAATCCAAATTGAGATTAGGCCAAAGAGTGTGCATAGAGGAAAGACTTTGTAAGGGCGTGAGAGGAAGCGGCCCTCTGTGAGCCAAGAGAGGGGCCGCCAGGAGAAACCAGGACTGTTAACACCTTGATCTTGAACTGTTAGCCTCTACAACTCTGAGAAACTATACTACTGCTGTTTAAGTCGCTTGGTCATGACAGTCCTAGCAGACTAAGACACCTCCCCAGATTAGATCATTGAAGCTCATAGCTCCCTCCTTTCTAATGTCATAGCATTTGTTACTGAGTCTTCTATGTGGTGATCAATCAGTGGTATATCTGTCACTATACCAAAGGGCATGTTATCGCTATTATTAAATTTTCATGTATTTTTGTCCTCTCTCCACAACTCCACAGTAGGGAACCTCTGTTAACATTCTTTTTTGTTGTTGTTAACCCTCATCCAAAGACATTTTTCCATTGATTTTTAGAGAGAGTGGAAGGGATGGGGATAGATAGAGAAATATTGACATTGACACATTGAATTGGTTGTTTCTCGCCCACACCTAACCAGGGTCGGGGATGGAGCCTGCAACTAAGGTACGTGCCCTTGACTGGAATCAAACCTGAGGCCCTTCAGTCCACGGGCCAATGCTCTAACCACTTAGCAGACTGGCTAGCGCTACATTATTTGAGTCCTCTGTATCTCCTGCATAACGTGATCCACACAGGAATAAATTGCGCTGAAGGTAAGGACTGAGTTGTGGCCAACTGAGGAACAGAATCAGATCCTGGTGTGGAGCCAGAAGTTGCCTGTGAAAAAGGAAGCTGAAGAAGTGGTTAGGATCCATCAGAGCCAAAAAGGCCTTTCAAGTGCAATTTTGAAAAGGTAACCATTCAGATGGTTGTTGTTAAGACTATGAGGGAAAATATAATTTTTAAAGTGAATAGTGAAAACAATCATTTAATGGGTTGTTAAATACATAAACCTAACAAAAGAATTCAAAAAATTTTGCAGAATGCATTTTTTAAAATTTGAAGATTGTTTCCAAGTCTCTGGCTCACAGAGGGTCGCTTTTATTGCATTCCTTCATTTGTATTAAACAACATAATTTCATATTTTTCAAAAAATTTTTGGACAAAACACAAAGACACTGACCTCATTTAACAAGAGATACAAGTTCATAAATTATATGCTGCTTTCATGGGCAGAAAAAAAGAGGGATGAGTAAAACAAGTTTCTGTTTGGAATTTCAGGATAAAAAGCAAAAGTGACTGTGGGCAATTCTTGGGGGCAATCACGCCTAAGTCCCTCTGTCCTGATTAGTGCTTCCCACACGAGGCGTACGGGCTGCTTTACTTGTCGTTCACCTAACTGTGAGCTTCTGGAAGACTGCATCTTGCTCGCTGTTGTATCCCACCTAAGGCAAGACCAGGCTCAACTGCAGGAGCTCAGTAAATATTTGTGGAAGGATGAAGGAAGAGAGGTGGGGAGTGGAGGCGGGGAAGAGATGAAAGAAGGTCAAATACCCTCTAGAAAAATGTGTCCTCTTACACACTCAACAGGGAGAACCCAGGGGATGGTGTAGAGCAGCGGTTCTCAACCTGTGGGTCGAGACCCCTTTAGGGGTCGAACAACCCTTTCACAGGGGTCGCCTAAGACCATCGGAAAACACATATATAATTACATATTGTTTTTTGTGATTAATCACTATGCTTTAATTATGTTCAATTTGTAACAATGAAATTGGGGGTGATCACAACATGAGGAACTGTATTAAAGGGTCACGGCATTAGGAAGGTTGAGAACCACTGGTGTAGAGGGATAGAGGGATGCTGGAAGTGGATGTGGGATGTTGATCCCCTTCATTTTATTAGCAATAGGAGTGAGACAGAACTTAAAGGCAAGGCAAGTACCCTTAGCATCCGCCCCAACATGATGCTTTCCATGAAGAAGAAATGATCTTGATATATGAGGACTTTCTAGAAAACTGAATATCTATTTCCCTTCAGATATAAATATATGTGCTATCTAAAAAGGGCTCCAGACTGCTTGGATTCCAGCTATTCCAATAATACTTTTCAAGCACATGTCTCCTGCTATAAGTTTTACTTGCGATGGCTTCCACAGAAGGCTGTGAATTTACAAGGCAAATGAGGCATAAAGAGGAGGGAAAACCAGAATTCTCCTTCCCTCTGTTCTCTTCCCCTACCTTTTGTTCCACTTTCCTGCTGAATTTGCAGGAAAGGGGCTCATTATAAATACTATCAATAGAGCTACAGAGTTGCCGCACTTCCACAGGAGGAGTTTTCAGGTTCCTGAAGACTAGAACCCAATGATAGGATTTACTATCTGATAACAGTATTCTTTTTTCACAGTAATAAAAAGGTGAAGGTGAGGAGAGATCATCCTGCAGATTTAGAATTACAAAAATGGCTTTTGAAAAGCAGGATTGGAAATAACAAATTTTAAATCTCCTGTAAAACACCTCCAATTTGTCACTTCTCTGAGGCAAAATTATTCAATTCTGAAAGGCTGGTTATTGAAAAACCATAAATTTTCCTGTTGTCATAGAGGAGTGGCTCTCATTTTACAAATGCCTTTCAGCAATATTCACTTTAAACTTAATATACATTCCCAGTGGTTGTCATTGTAACGTTGAAGATATATTTCATAGTTGGTGGATAAGATCTAGCAATAAGCTAAATTAGAAACTTCTGGAGAGGAGAGGTTTACCGAAGCATATCCTGTTGTGGTAGAATGTGCGTATTGCACTACTTGTACAACTGGGCTGATGGCTGAGCTCCAATACAGCATCTTGGATAGCTCTTCTTTTCCTGATTGAACCAGACTCAGGCCAAGAAAAAGTCAATGAGCCCAACCAATCAATGACTGAGTCCTTTAGCACGGAAAACCACTTTCTTTGGGCAATTTGCTCTTCTTAGAGTTCTGGTCTCCAAAACAAATAAGTATGAATTCCAGATGCCTTTTTGCCTTGTGAGATATTAAAAAAAAATGTACTTACCAAATCTCTATAAATCTGTAGAACTCCATAGATTCTCCCCTCTCCCCCCAGTCCCCGGCCACAGGCTCTTTGCTTTTTTAACATCCAACGTTGCTGTCTACTTAAATCTTTATTGGTTCCACAGAATAAAATCTGGGCCATTATATTTGTGGTAGGCGGTTAGACAAACATGAGCAAACCAAGGGCCACAGGCCAGGTACAGAAGGTCACCAGGTCGGAAAGCCCCGTGTGAAACAGAGGCCTCACCCCGGGGTGACCTTTCCTTCCTTAGCGTGTCTCTGGCCATGCTGTTTGGACCCTCCACTGACCTTTCCTCCCTGGCACTGTTGCTAGTCATGCAGGTTAGATCCCCTCCTTAGAAGGGGAACCAACGAGGGGGCTGGAGAATAGCCCTTAGGCATTAAGCCCCCAGGACAAGGAGGCTCTGACCCACATCAAATCCACCTAGGCCTCAGTTGTGCTTCAGCTCCAGGCCCAGAAAAACAGCGGAGGCTGACATCAAGACCAGCTTCATTGACCAATTCCCCCCCCCCCGCCCCGCCCCGATCAATCAGTGGAGACCATAAGCCTGAAAGGATACACCTGGAAAGCTGATGAATAATATTCTATTGAGATTCTTCCCTGGGACTTCCCCTGAAATCCCCTCCCTAACAGCCCTTAGGACTATGGACCCAGTGTGCTCTTTCTCCCTTTCCCCTTTCCCTCCCCCTCTTCTGTCCCCCAGGCATGTTTTCCTTGCCTCTTTCCTTCTCCTAAGCTCCAAGGGCCCTTCTTTTTTTCTGTAACTTGTTTCCTAAACACATTTCTTCGATGGCTCACTTTTTCTACCTCTGTGACTTTCTCAATAAACTTTCTCTTATGGTTTAAGTCTTGGCTCTGAATTCTTTCCTAGCCAGAACCCAAGTACTGAGGTTGCTGAGTCAAGGTCCCGTCTGACTCCACCAGTGTAACCCCTGTTGCTGTTCTTGCCACTGCTAACAATATGCAGTTGGTTCCTCAGAGTAAAAGTTCAAAACACCCACTTCCCACTTCCTGAGTAGTCTTACCCAAACCTTTTATTAAATGGGGGGAAAGGGGATAACCTTTCTGAAAGACGTGGACACAATCAACTTAGGCTCAAAAGAAGAATCATGGCTCGGGTTCAGCACAGCATAAAAACGCTGATTTTTGTTCACTTCTTTACTAGTAGTTTTACTTTTCAGGGAGGAAGCTGGTGAATGTGTTCTAGGAGCTTGGTCATCCCGCTGAACATTTTCCCAAGGTTTTTTTTAACCTTTGAATTTCTTTCTTAAATTTATTTCTTAATTTTTAAGTGGTCTTCAATGCTTCAGAAACATCTGGTTGAAATGAACATTTGCCTCTCCTTTTCCTCTTTTGGATTTAGAAACCCCAGTGATATATGGTTGCCTGAACAGAGAGAAAGCATGGATCAGCAGCAGAAGGGAGGTGCCTTTTCTCAGACCCCCAGAAATATCCCACACCACACACATCTCAATGGCTATAGGCAAACTGGGGGGGGGGGGGCTGAAAGGGCTTTCTAGAACCATAGAGTGAACGCTTTCTGCATCTTCTAGAGTTGATCCCAGCTATGTGCACACACTGTGCTCAAATAAATAGAGGCAGAACGGGAAGGAACTCAAGACAGGGGACCCAGATTCCCATTCTAACTTGATGGTAACTAACTGCAGAAGCTCAAGCAAGGCCCTCCTGCGCCTCTGTTTCATCAGCTGTAAAATGAATAGGTTGGTGTAAGTCAGGTTCTCCCTGGCCTGGGGACTTTTGGAAATTCGGGTGATTTTATATCGGGTGATATCTGTGCACTTGAAAAGTAACATCTCTGCCATAGATTGGTACTATTTTTCAAATGTCACTGTTCGATTAACAAAAAAATAAATTTGATTAACAACTTTTCCTGTGTATCAGGAGCCCTGGTAAAACAGAACTCAACTTTCATTTTTAGCTAGAGAAGCTGATAGTTGTGCCTAAGAGGGCACAGCCAGGCTCCTTAGAGTAGCTCTTCTTTAGGAGTCTCTTCAGTGTCTCCCATAGTAAAGGAAATATAAGATGAGCAGACATTCCTGTCCCAGAGAAGAGAGTAAAAACCTTCAGAAGAGCTGGATGCTACAGCAGTGAATTTGCTCACAAAGGTCAAGAAACCTTGAAAATGAAAGTTGAATCAGTCCATGACCTCTTCCTGTCCAAATCCATTATCAGTACTTCTCTCATAGGTGAGATGGTCTCTTCTGAGAACTGCTCTCAGAAAAGGGACACCAAGTGTCCCCAAGGTGGACTTCAAGGTAAGGAAAGGATTCAGCAGCCACAACATGTGCTTTCACAATGGATGAAGGCTTCTTCGGGGGCAGGGAGGTGACAGCAATAGATCTTTTCGTATTTCAAACTATTGGGAATATGACTGAAACAAATCCCTTTCTTCAAATTGAACCTTTATCCTCACCCTATAGTATTGCGTGTTTCCAACTTCAATCAGAAGCTGCTTTCATGAGAAAAATAGTGTAAGCATTGCCTCCTATAGGTGTGGGGGAAATTCTCTGTGCATAAACTTCCTCAACGGGGATAATAACGATGCCTATCTTTTAGGCTTGTGAGAATTAAACAATTTACTTATGTTGACCACTTATGACAATGCCTTATATATAGTAATATTTCACTATGTGAAGATGATGATGATCTGTAAATGTTATTTACTCAAGACTAAGATATGAAATAATATCAAAAGGGAAAAAAAGTACATTGCCACCCCAAAACTTCAACCACTGACCATATTCTATGTGTCAGTTAATAGGGCTGCTCAAAAACATTTGGGTTCATCTTCTTCCAAATGTATGCTAGGTATGTACTTCCCCCAACTGTTTTGAAGTCAGACATGACCAATATCTCCTTTTGTTACCACAGCATCCTAATAAACTACATTAATACATATTTATCGCTATTATTAGCATCATCATTATAATTTTAGACACTTAATATGTGTGTATAAAAGATTTCTAAAAACAACAATAAATTAGCATTCATTTGGATGTATTGTATTTGATCTTACAGAGATATGTGCACTTTTAGTCCTTGTTCAAGTTTCCATATTTTTTAACATAAAATTCTGTTACTTAAAAAGCATCTGTGTGTGTGTGTGTGTGTGTGTGTGTGTGTGTGTGTGTGTGTGTATGTGTCTAAGAGGAAAAAGATGCTCTGAAAGTGGAATGCCAATCTTGTGTTTTTTCACTAACTTAAGGATTGCATTGAACTCAGAGTTTCTAAAGCCTTTTACATTTGCCATAGTTGGTTTGGGCAGAGAGCCCAGACACTACATCATTTTTAAAATTTTAAGTGAGCCAAACAGTTTTAAGTGACCCATCCACATGTAATTGCTTCAGTTGTGCAACTATTACTATCTTTTTTGTCAACAGACAAATGAGACCCTTTCCCTTGGATCAACCAAAATTTCATTCATGGGCAGGGAGTTCAATACATTCACCCACTGCTTAGCAACAGGGATATGTTCTGAGAGATGCGTCTTTAGGTGACTTCGTTATGTGAACATCACAGCGTGCACTTGCACAAACCAGATGGTACAGCCTCCTACACACCTAGGCTATCTGGCAGAGCCTATTGCTCCAAGGCCACAAGCCTGTACAGCGTGTGACTGTACAAAAGAACATGAGATTAGATCCAGCACAAGAGAAAATGATGCAATCAAGTGATGTATGAGGCTGCTGCCTGTGTAACATGGCATACTGTTTTACAGAAAACATTTTTTTCTAAGTAGGAAGAGTACACTCTAAAAGAATGGTAAAAAGTGTAGCATAGTAAGTACATAAACCAGGAGCATAGTCATTTAACATCAAGCATTACATGCTGTACATAATTGTATGTGCTATACTTTTATATGGTGAGCAGGCAGTAGGTTTGTTTACACCAGCATCACCACAAACACGTGAGCAATGAGTTGCCCTATAACATTATCACATCACTAGGCAATAGGAATTTTTCAGCTCCATTATAATCTTATGGGACCACTATTGCATATGTGGTCACTCGTTGACTAGAACGCTGTTAGGCAGTGCATGACTTTATTATAAGTGACTGCAAGTTCATTTCTTTGTGTTTTTAAAGATCTCACCACCCCAAATGGAAGAGTAGAACAATTATCTGAAACTATGAAGAGATTATTCATGTAAATATTGACAAGGAGATAGGGATGGGGGGAAGCCCTGAGGTTCAAAGCTCTAGATCAGTGGTTCTCAACCTTCTGGCCCTTTAAATACAGTTCCTCATGTTGTGACCCAAACATAAAATTATTTTCGTTGCTACTTCATAACTGTAATGTTGCTACTGTTATGAATCATAATGTAAATATCTGATATGCGGATGGTCTTAGGCGACCCCTGTGAAAGGGTCGTTCGACCACCAAAGGGGTCGCGACCCACAGGTTGAGAACCGCTGCTCTAGATGTTTCTCTTTGAACATCCTTTACCTGCCCATGACCTCTGATGAGGTTCCATTTCCTTGGACGGTCTTCGCACAGGACTGGAGAGGACACTTCTTGTTCCCCAGATGGGGCAGCAGTAAATTTCCTGACACGGCAGGATCTCACAGAAAGTGATTTCTGGTATTTGGAACGAGGATTGTGTCGTTGCCAGAGACGTATTAGGTGCTGCACGGCATTGGGCAGAGGGGAGAGAAGCAACAAGGTTAACCTGACAGGCTAGTTCTTCTGTTGACAATTCCCAGGAAGCACAGGTTGGGTTTGAGGGTGAGGAATGTGAAGATCTTACCTGAGGAGGAAGAGGCTGCGGGTGGCAGGGCCGGCTCCTGAGAGCTTGTGATATTGCTGGAAAAGGATAATGAAACAGTTCATGAAAGGGGCCTTCAAACACCCTTCTCCCCAAAGGAAAACAAGACTGGAACTCTCACCTCGCAGGGAGATTTGGGGCACGTCGGTCTTGATCTTTTAAGCTAAGTATGTAAAGGGAGACTATCGTCAAGGCACTGTTTAAAAAATAATAAAGAAAGTATTATGTGGCAGATTTGATTCCAGATATATCTCACCCAACCAGCTGGCCAGAGATGTTCTGTCACAGGCCACGCAGATGGGAGGGGTGGGGGAGGGCGGCCCTGGTTGACAGCGCGCCATGGGAGCCGGCAGTTCTGCTTCTCTGCCCTGGTGAGAAAAGCCCAGGTCGTCCTGGAGCTCAGAGGCACCTAGGATAGTCCACGCTGACGGGTTTTTCCACAGGGCAGACCCCTGGCCCTGGCAAGCTGTCTCAGAAGCATCTGTCACTGGTGGAAGATTACAAGAGGAAGCGTGTAAAGGGCTGGAGGCAACCCCCTGCTCCTTGCAGGAAAAAGCCAGAGCAAAGTTCACATCCACCGGTGGAGGGTGTCCACACTGTAGTGTGTGGTGGTGGTGCGTGGGTGTGTGGGGGGATGGGGTGGGGGCTTGAAGGAGGCACAGGTTTAGTCAGTTGTGGATGCCAAACCCTTTGGCCAGTGCTGACACCTTCCAGCTGCCTGTCTTTTCAGAGCACAATACACCAAATTGGACAGAGGAAGGAAAGACATGCAATAAAGCACCCATTTCCACACTCCATGGCTTCAAAATAATGAGTATGTCTTTTCCCCCTGGTGATCAGAACTGATACAGCCAAATGGGAGCTTTCCTTAAAGGTTCTGAGCTTAGGGGAGCTATCATTCCCAACAATGCTCACGCATCCAAACACTGAGCATTCTCCTCTTCAGGAGCGTCTAGAACTCTCTTATGAAAGTCTGCTTGGTGACCTCACAATCCCACTGGGCTGGTCCGACACAGGGTGACCAAACTTGATCTCCTGCCAGTTCAACTTCACACCTGATTCTGCAGACTCAACTCATTATTTTGTTCCCATCAAAGGTGGTGGATTTCCATCATTAAATATATACAAAGTATGTGCCACATGTCTGCATGCCACTCATGAAGAAAGAACTCCCAGCGCGGTCTCAGCGGCAGCTGGTTACAGCCCAGCGGGCACCGCCCTGCCTGGGAAAGTGGTGCTGAGCCCACTGATGCCTCAGGCATTGGCTGTGTCCCTCTGGCGACTGCCTGCTGTGGTCCCGTCTCCCTTACTTTGTTCTCCCACAGCCCTCCTTTCCTCTCTGCCTGTGACTAATCCTAACTATTCTTTCTAATTTCTCTGACATCTGCTTCAATGCACGAGCCAGAGAACTTCCAGAATCTTAGAGTAACATGGCCATCTGCTCCTTTCTTTGGGGGCAAACTCTGGTTTTGACCCTTCTCAGTGAGTCCACGGGTCAGAAATAGGATAACAAGCCTAATTCCACCCATTTGCCATCTTGGCGGTCAGCAATATTGGAATTCATAAGCTCTAATGGGCACGTTTCAAAAGCAGCCTCTTTATGTCAGAGTTAGAGCTCCTGCAGCCTTTCCTTGGGTTTTCACGGGAATATGGGAATCTAGAGAATGCTGAGTGTGTCTGAGGTGGTGCTCACACTCTCCTAAGCTGGGAATCTCAGCAGAAGACAAGAGCACTTAGGAGAGTGAGAAAAGGAATGGCTTCTAATGGGAATTCTCTGTCAAATATAATGGGGATGCTCCCACGGTGGGCAGGAGCAAGGGAGAAGTTAAAATGGAAAGGGGAGACAAGCAGACGGAGACCCCACTGTCTTCTATAGCAGGAAGCTGCTTTAGACAAAGGAGTGGAAGTACCCTGGCTCCATCCCCTACTTTCCCTCTGAGAATGACTGTTTCCCCTGAAATGAGCCCAGCAGCCGGTCCTTTCCCACGCTAACAAAGCATTTTTCAAGGGACAGATAAATGCCCCTTTCACCATGGGAATAGTTAGATTAAGAATAAGACGCCCTGGAGGACAGAAGCAAGATGACCAGGGCTCAGAGTCCGAGGGGCATCACAGCACCAGTGGGAACCTGGAGACCAGAGGCCAGAAGACTCCTGCATCCCGGTAGGGCGACTCCACGTCCCTGCAGAGGAGGGATGGCAGACAACAGGGACGCAGAGCTCGCATAGCAAAGACTTTGGTCCTGACTGTATTTGTTTGCTTTAACTACTAGTAACTTTGGCTACAACTTCATCATATTGTACATCTTCGGATAATCTCACGGCCCTTTTGGTGTGAAGTCTCCACTGAAGAATCTAGAAGAATCCTAGAGTGGGTTGTACCTGATTACTTACTCACTGTCTTCTCCCATGTAGGCCACAGAATTTGAGAAAATTCTTTGCAAAATTAAAACACACACACACACACACACACACACACACACACACACACACACACGAAAGGCACAGTAACCTGTTACAAAACATCAGTTGACTGAAAAAAAAAAATCATCCTTCATCGTACATTAAAGTGCAGAAATCCTGTGCTGCTTTTCTTCCAAGTATGAGTTTATAAAGGGCTCCCCTTGCCTCTAAGCTGAATCAAAAGTCAAAGCCCAGTTTAAAGGGCTCCTCGTCTTCAAAGTAAGTAAAAGGTCAGGCCTCCATGCACATGTGAGAAAAGGAAGATGGGAAGAACGGGAGCTCCCGTAGCATAACGTTGACGTTTTTCTTACCAAAATGTCATCACAGCAATGAGCGTTATAACCAAGGTCTGGAAAACCCAGTTAGGACACCACTGTTTTTTTCCTGAAAAATAAACCTATAAAAAGATTCAGTAATGAGCAATGATAAAGCGGTAACACAAACTGCGGAAAGGACGCCTGAAGACACTCCCAGTGGGGACTCTTCGCTGCTCCCTGGGGATGGTAAGTGTGCTCCCTTCATCCTACATCTCCCTCCGCCTCAGCCTCCCTGGAAACAAAGCTCTCTCAAAAGCCACTTCAATTCCCTCCTTTCCCTTGATACTCCAGGCTCCAGTGAACTCTCTCTTCCCTGATGTCCTGCAGATGATCTTCTGTGCCATTCATTTAGTGCTTATTCTTGAAGTCTGATGAGAGAAGAGGGCCTACAACACAAGATACTGTCAGAAGCCAAATGTCCACTTCTCTTAATAGGATACTTTTCAAAATCAAAAGGCTTTTAAGACATGATAGAATAAATCCCAGTGGAAGAATGTTAGGCATCATGACAAACCATGGAAAAGATTTTTGTGTCTTCTCAAATCTTACACATCTGTATCTAATTTCGCCACCTATTTTTTTAAGGACAAGCTGGGCCTGTGTCTTATTTATCCATTCAACAAATATTCATAAAGTACTAATATGTACAACATGACAGGGGACGTGAAAATGAATAAATTACAGTCTCTAGGAAGTGAATGAGACAAACCTTTAGGACTGACACATATTGGTATGGAACTTGCATACGGGGAATGGACCAACAGCTACAGGCTAGACAGCTGTGCAACTGCTGGAAAATCTGGCCAAACAGATAGGAGAGGTTTGCTGTCCCCTTAAATAAGGTGCTTCTTAAATATGAGTTTTCCTGCTAATGCAATAGGGAGTATTATGCTTTCTTCCTCTTGGGGAGTACAGGGTAGAATTATGCTTTTGACCAGAAGGAAATTAAATGATGGTGGTAGTTAAGAAATTGCTTAAAATGGGTCTTTGTTTGAATTCCTTGAGTACTAATAATGGTGAACACATCTACAGCTCTTATTAAGTGTCATAAACTCTTCTGAATGCTTTGCACATCCTATTTTTAATCTTCATAATAATCCTCAACCATCTTCTGAGACAGGAACTGTTACCCCCATTTTAAAGATGGGGATAATGAGGCCCAGGAAGGCTAGGTTCCTCACCCAAGATCATACAACTGGTAAGTCACAAAGCCAGGATACGAACCAAAACCATTTGGCTTTACAATCTGTGCTCTTAACCACAATGCTATGCGGCCTCCCTTTCTCCGTACGTAAAAGGAGGAAATACCCTACAACTTACATATTAATTGTTATGATTTAAAAGGTCCGCATGGCTTACCAAATGAACTCCTTAACCTGGTGATCCAGAAACTGAGCCTAACTTATATTTTCAGCCTTATCTTCTACTCTCCTCCCTAACCAACACCCACTTAATCCTTCAATGAGGCCAGTGCCAGCTCCCAGACCTTTGCTCATAACATTCCATCTGAAACCTCCCTACAGCTCCTGTTAGTCTGGCCAACACTCACTCTTCCTTGAAGACCCGGCTCCCATAATATTCCTGCAGCACTCTGAGCTCCTGCAATATTTATCAGATTCAGAAACAACTGTTCTTTGCCTTTACTTCTGGTCTTCCCTGGCTACCTTGAAATTCTTTAGTTGAAGAGGTCACATCTCACCTTTTTATCTGCCTTCCTAGAACATTGACTTCAAGAGGTCTTCAAGTCAAATGGGTGCTCTTCAATGCCTATATCATTTCCTGACTCTATGTTCACATCCCAACCCCCAACCCACCCACACATCCAAGACACTTAATGTTTTTAATTTAGACTATGAGACTTCAAGGAATATTTTCAGACTGAGCTCTCCATTCATGCATTCGTTTGCCAATATTATGTGCCAGACCCTGGGGCATAGAATGAAGAAGACAGACATGGGCCTGCTTTCATGGGCCATACTAGTATATCCTTGTTAATTTTCTGAGGTAACTGCAAAATAAAGAGATTCTTTGGGTGCAAGATGCAAGCTATTGAGGTTGCACACGACCAAATTGCACCTATTAGAGTCGCTATGGATGTAGATACCATCCTGCCCACCCCATTGCAAACTAGTTAGTACACAGGGCACCTTCCCTACACAATATTTTTAATGTTTTGTGTTGATTAAGTACCTGCTGTATGCTGGACATTGTGCTAAAGGCTTTAGCTCATTTAATCTTATCAACAATTTTTGTAAGGTGTCATACTATTATTATCTCTATTTTCTAATGCAATTAAGTAACTTGCCCAAGAAGACTTTTTCACATATGTATTTATCCATGTATTTACATTTATCGGTACATCAAGAAGCTTATCAGCAACATCATATTGTAATAGTTTTTAGTTAGAATATTAAACTTTTTTTTAGTCCTTTTAGAATAGTTCAACGTAGCATAACATGAGGAGTGGAGAGAAAACTAGTGCAATGGCCCTAACATCAGATCATCCCTTACCAGGATGAGGTCATAAATCTCTTCCTCAGGGAAGGACCAGCTTTGGAACACTGGTGGGTCAGAGGGGGCAAGCTGAGTCTCACAGCTATCTATGTACTGGCGCTAGAAAGGGAGTATTGCAGCTTCTCCCTCCCTGACACTCCTTGTAACAGAGAGGTTGTCCTTTAAATTAATAAATGATTAACCTTCACTTTTTACTGTAAATGCTATCCTACTAGATGAAAGTTCTCTGTCCATTAATAAAGCCATCACATTTTAACCTTTGCAAGCAAGTGAATACCTACTCTCTATTTGCATATATAGTATGAAATATCAAAGGGAGAAGAGGAATTTGAGGATTAGCTGACATCCTTTGGGATCTTCTGAAGTCAAAGGTAAGGCCCTGTGTGGAGTGAAGGCAGCCACACTGAGATCTTACAGCCCAGGACCACAGGCATGTGGAGGCCAGCAATTTCACCTGATGGGGACACTAGAAATTAAAACTGGTGGAATACTATTTCTGAACTGAACATGTTCTGTATTCATTTCTCCAAACCTCTCTGAAAAAACCAGATCATATCTATTAAACGGTTAGTATTTAAATACCTAAATGCAGTAGGGATGCAAACTAGGGACTTCAATAACAAAGAAATGAAGAAAAAAATCTTGGTAAATTTCTGAAAAGACTTTTTTTCATAGAAAATATTATTTCTGTTAATTATACATGTAAGTTTATTTACCTTGTTGGTTTTTTTGGGAATGGTCCTTCTTGGAGGAGTACTAACAATTCTGCTAAATTTGCTTTAAAAAGAAAGAGAGAATTAATTACTATTCAAATGCCTCTCCAGCAGTTACATGACAAAGACCCAGGCTGTCACTAACACAGCAGTATGACTTCTTTTATTATAATACAGTGGTAATTTAAAGAAGGAAAAGTCAAGGCAATTGAGAGTTCCTTTTGTGGAAAAGAACCTTAGTAAGCATAAAAGAATGCATTAAACGTTGCATTATATTTCTCTTTTTTTTTTTTTCCAAAATTATACCCCAGGAATTGTGCATTTACCTCCTTAAATAATAAAAATAATAAAAGTTGTTTTCCTGAGGACCAAACATGGTTTTCTAAATTTAGAAATAGCCACCTCGCCTAGTTAAAGAAGAAGCGACCCTTTTACTAAAATGTAACACTTCTTGTAACATCTGCTCTTAAACAGATGGGTGATGTTTTGTCTAATCATTAAAGCTGCAACAGAAAAAAAAATAAGAAAATGATCATTTAAGGCAATTGTGTTCCAAAACATTCTAAGAGAAGAATAAGGACTTAACGGTCAGAAACGAATGGTTGCTGCCTGACCTAGTTATGGAAAGACTCACTGCTTTCTCCAAATTCCTCTGGCAATCCTGGGCATACCTGGTGGAGCTCGCGTCACTGGCCGAGGATTTCCAACTACTGAGCCGCTTCAGCCTGGCCAGCTTCCGGTTCCATATTTCTAATTCCTCTATTCTTTCTTCAAGGTTGTTGGTTAGTTTGCAGAGCTGCTTCACTGCACCTACATTTTCCATAAAGATCTGGTCCTAAAAATAATATGAAGTGCATAAATTTATAAATTCGAGACCATCAGAGAACTGTCCATAGCTCTTTCAAAGACATTCGAAGACACTGCTGGAAATGGTTATGCACAGCCTTGAATTCATTCAAGATAAATCTGTAGAGGTTTACCTCTTAAAGCGGTTTTGTTAAACTGCTGGCTGCATAGTAAAAGTGCTTATGTTCAATTTGCAATAAAATGGAAATATGTCCTTGTAACCCAAGAGAGAGAATGGAGCTGGAGGACACTGTCAAGTTTGGACTCTGAAGAATTATTTCCAATGGTCATGTGCTATATTTAAGAGTCATGAAAATAATGTTGATGTGTGTGTGTATCACTAAATAATCCTAAGAAATGACTCCAGTTCTTCCGGGTAAAATGTGCATCGAATCGCTCAGGTGAAGGAGGAAGAATGAAGACCTGGGCTTTTCTCTGAGTTCTGCCACTTACTGGTTGTGAGACCCAGATAAAACACAACCTCTCTGAGCTTCAGTTTCTTCATCTGCAAAGGAGAGGAAAACTCGTGAGGTGTTCATTTCTGCCCTAACCTCCCATGAGCTATCTTGTATATTTCAGCCTAACTCCCAAACAGACTTTAAAACAACAGCAATACTTAACTCTTTCTGTTCACACAAAGTCACTGACAGGTCAGAAAGAGCAAGAAAGGGGAAATCAACCAAAGCCAGAGTAAGAAAGCCTTCCCCTCCCCCACCCAATACACTTCAGTTGTCATGGGAACACGAGTGTCTATCTCTCAGCCATAACAACAACCCTGGAAAGCTCTCATAAACTCACACCCTGATCCCGTACCTCTCCTCCTTACCCCACAGCACTCTTTGGGGACTCATAGTAGCTAGTCCTCTATTGTAATGAGCTAGAGGCCAAACGAAAAAGATTTGTTTTGTGGTTGGGGGAATCAAACTGAAAGGTGTGTGCCTTTTGAGATCCCCATCATGCAAACCTATTTTAAGGGTTTCAAAGCTGTAAAGCAACCACTCAGAAAGGATTCAGAAGCTGAACATAATGAATCTAAGGCTTAGTTCATGCAGTTTAAAGACATGCACACTGCTACAGAACAGACTGGTAAAGGTAAGTGGATAGTCAGTTTTAGAACACTCTACTATTGAACTATGACGGTATATAAATCACTTAACTCTAGCATAAAGGTTAAAGAACAAAAGTATTAAAAATAACTACAGCTACAATAATTTGTTAATGGTACACACATTAAAAGAGGTAAATTAGCCCTGGCCGGTTTGGCTCAGTGGATAGAGCGCCAGCCTGTGGACTGAAGGGTCCCAGGTTTGATTCCGGTCAAGGGCATGTACCTTGGTTGCAGGCACATCCCCAGTAGGGAGTGTGCAGGAGGCAGCTGGTCGATGTTTCTGACTCCCTATCCCTCTCCCTTCCTCTCTGTAAGGAATCAATAAATATATATTTTTTAAAAAGAGGTAAATTATAACATCAAAAACATAAAATGTGGAAGGGGAGTAAATGGGTAGTTTTCGTATGCGATCGAAGTTAAGTTACTATCTGCCAAAAATAGGCTATTATATCTATAAGGTATGTCATGTAAGCTTGATGGTGACCACAAAATAAAAACTTACAGAAGATACAAAAAAGATAAAGAGAAGAAAATCAAAGCATTTCACTACAGAAAATCAGCAATTCACCCAGGAAGACAGTAAAAGAGGAAAAAAGGAACAAGGGAAAAACAGCCAGAAAACAATGTGATGGTGTTAGTAAGTCCTTACCTAGTAATAATTGCCTTAAACAAAAATGGACTAAATTCTCCAGTCAAAAGGCAGAGAGTGTCTGAATGGGTTAACAACAACAACAAAACACAGAACCCAACTGTATGCTGCCTACGAGAGGCTCCTGTCAGCTTTAAGGACACACATGGGCTCAAAGTGGAAGGATGGAAAAGGATACTAATGGAAACCAAAAGGGAGCAGGCATGGCTATAACTATATCAGATAAAATAGAATTTAAGTAAAAAACTAACAAGAGACAAAGAAGGTCATCATATAATGAGAAAGGAGTCGATTCATCAAGAGGATATTACAGTGGTAAATACGTACAGTATGCACTCACACCCAGTTTGAGATGAGTAAGTTCTGGGGATCTAATGTGCAGCATGGTGACTACAACAGTGAACAGCACTGTATTATATACTTGATCATTGCTAGGAGAGTTATAGGGGAGCAGGACTTTGCCACCCCAAAATATGTCTCATTGGCATAAAGGTTATTTTGGCTAATTATTTTTTTTAAAGAAACAAAAGACTTAGGAAGAGCTTTCTACCTCCCCCTTCACTGCCTAAAACAATTTGGATAGAGGTCCTGTTTCAGGAAGCTATCACCGTAGATTACTCTGAAGAATATGATCCCAGTGTGGTGACTAGAGGGCAGAGGTGGGGACATGAACTCAGCAATCCTGCTTGTTCAGAGTCCTCTCTGTGTCTCATTGTCTCCACTTGGGATAGCAAACATTTGTTTATCAAACATTTGTTTCTTCACCATGTAAATTGCCTTCCTCCCCTTGGAAGTCTCAGACTCCCAGCCTCTTCCCCTGAGCTCTGGATGGCATATAAGCCTCAATTGCCGGATTGCCTCTGGGCCCTCATTTTCTTATGGAGCCCCAATATGTACAAAATTCAACTTGGGTTTTCCTTGGTTATCTGCCCCATGTCAATTTAATTCTTAAACCAGACATAAGAATCTATAAGGATGGAGGAGGAACTTTTTCTTTCCAACAGAGTAAATCTTAAATGTTCTCACCATACACACCAAAAAGGTCATTATGTGAGGGCATGCATATGTAACTTGCTGTAGTAATAATTTTGCAATATATGTGTGTGTATCAAGTAATCATGTTGTATACTTTAAACAGTGTTATGTGCCAATTATTTCTCAATTCAGTTGTGAGGGAGGATACTTTATTTAAAAAAAAAACAAGATTGGACATGAATTGATAACTGTGAAATGAGTGACGTATACTAGTATACATGGGTTTCATCAATATTCTCTCTTTTGTATATGCTTGAAATTTTTCATTAAAAATGTTAAAAGTAAATAAATCACGAAACATGAACCAACCAAAAAAAAAATCTCCAGACAAAAGCTCTTCTAAAAGTTCTAACTCTGGTATAGATGTTCTTTTGCTTCTAAATTTGTTTTAATACCTATAAGGCAAAAATTGTGAAGATAAGAACAACATTCTATAGTTATAAATCATAGTAAATGTCATTTCACTATTTCCTATGTTCACATTGCAGAAAGCTTTGTGCTATAATGATAACTATCTTATTTAGTGGATCAGATGGTCAGTTGATGTCCACCCTCAAATCCAAATCAGGTTCCCAGCCATGGCGTCTGATTCCCGCCCCCCACCCGAATCCCCATCCCCACACGCCTCCCAACCCCGAGCTCCCCACAGGCAGTCCATCGGGCAGTGCTGTCAGCTCAACAGCCTAAATCTCCTGAATCTACCCACTTCTCTGCGTCCTCACTGGCATTACCATACCACATATATAATGTGTTCCCTCCAAAAATGTATACACACACTTTGAATATTTATAGGCAGGGTTTATTAAAATACATTTCATTTTTGAAATTGAGTTATCAGCTGTTAAAGTCTGCATACATTCTTGGGGACACCCTGTATATTTTTATTTTTACTGGCAACTTGTTTCTTCTTTTTTAAAAAATGTTTCCTTGATACATTCAATTGTGATTTAGCCCAACCAAAGCAGATCATGGAGCAGGATGCTAACGTCCCCTCTAAACCAAGGCATGATGGTCCTGCAGCGTCTCCCCAGGACTTTCAATGCTGCCGCACATGGTAAGAGCAACGGCTGCCTTGTCCAGTTACTTGTCACTAATGATAACAAGCCAGCTCTGATTCCTCCAACTCAATTTGCTGGCACTAAGTGGATCCAGTAAGCCAGAAATAATTCATGTGCTTTCTTTCCTATTTAGGAGGAAATAAAAGTGGAGAGGGAATTTACTCGGACCTCCCTAATTATAATGAAGGCCCTGACATTATGGATCCAGTGGAAAATTACCAAAACTAATTTTCTAGGACGTGTTCTGGGGACTGACTCTTACTAAAATGCTCTGACTTCTGTCCTCTGTTGTCATGGTGAAGCCAGGACAGAGTGGGCAAAAGTAGATTTATAGTTGTAAGTATGTGAAACAGTTTATTCTTATATAATTATTTATTACTTGTTTGTATGAAAACTGTAAACCTATTTCCCCCACTGCTGTATAAATATGCTAAAAAAAAATAACCTATTTTCTGAAAATGTCCTTTTCCATGCAAGTGAATGATCTTTGTGAGTTCATTTTAACCACAATGTGCACCCAGATGCCTGAGGGACTCTTTCTAAATACACACACCCAGGTGCCACATGGAGGCTTGTTTGTATTCATGAGATGGGCATATGGCTGAGACATTTTGAAAAGCTTCCCCAACTGATGCCCATTATTGGTTAAAAACTATTTTCTAATTGAACCTAATTTAATTAATCAACTCTGTCCCCTTATTATTGACAATTTTCTTTTTTTAAGATTTTTTAAATTGATTTTTAGAGAGAGAGAAATGGAGAGGGAGAGATAGAAACATCAATGATGAGAGAGAATCATTGATTGGCTGCCTCCTGCACGCCCCCTACCAGGGATCAAGCCCAAAATCCAAAATTCGGGCATGTGCCCTGAACCGGGAATTAAACTGGCAACCTTTCGGTGCATAGGCGGACACTCAACCAACTGAGCCACATTGGCCAGGGCATTACTGACCATTTTAAATGGGACCCACGACCTCAGCAGAAATGTAACTTTCCAGCTGTGATGCAAAAACGATGAAACTGGCTTGCCACCAACATTGCTCATGAGACTTTGTGGGGGAAGTGGCAACTGCTCTTCAAATCGATTACACAAGAACCTTCTACCCACTCATTGCGACTGGCTTTGGGGTGAGGGTACA